AGCTGAGCAGCCGCAAACCAGGAAATCTGGGGACACACACTGCTAAGCACAGAGCCGTGTGGCCACGCACAGTCAGGTGTGACAGCAGGGAAATGACCTAAAGACAGTTTACAACCAAAGACAAGCCGAGGGAAAGATCTGAACACTGCGTGAAGAGTGAGACGGCACCTCCAAAGGGCCTTCAGGGAGGTGATGGCCACACCAGGAGGGAGCCAGGACCCCTCACCAGGACAATGACAAGGGACCCCAAAGACCCGGCAGAGACCTTCAAGGCTGCGCCCCATCACAGGCCCCAGCAGGACCCGGAGGCAAGAGGTCCACAGCAGTGTCCCCAGCAGGTCAGCATTTGCCTCCTGAAATCTGGCCAGCACCCCTTGACTATCCCAGCCCAGGGTCAAGCGGGTCCAGGTGTAGCTTGAGCTGCTGACCCCCGGAAGCCTGGCCACGTCCACGTCACACTCATTCTGCAGCCACACAGAATACAGAGTGCAGCAGCCTGGGCCTTGAAGTCTACCTAGAAGCCACCTGGACCCAAAGGACGCAGAGCGGCCTGGTGGCCGGGCAGACACCTGCAGCTGCTGCACAGGGGCCGAAGTGCAGGCAAGCAGGGAGGTCAGGGCTGCCTGGCCTGTGGGGACCCGACTCACGGGACACTGTTGTGAAGCTTTCGGACTTGCTGCTGCTGCCTGTAGGGCTCTGGACTCTCTTCTCTCTCCCGATGATGTGACGGCCTGTTCCGTGCCTGCCCTGCCGATGCATTTGGGAAGTAGATGCCGCTTTGATTTCACACTGGAGGAAATGGAGCTCGGGATAAGCCCCGTGGAGTCCTGCCCAGATCTGATTTAGATGAAACCATGGACTTCCGGGTTAGTGATGGAGTAAGTGCAGGCTTTGGAGCCCTCAGGACGGAATGAATGTATTTTGCAAGGGAGAAGAATACGCATTCGGGCCGCAGGGTGGGGCCTGGATGGAGACTTCAGATGGCCTGGGTTAGAAACTGAACCCTCGACCCAGCGCTGGAGGGTGGGTCACAGGGAGCCCCTCACAGGCACGGAGCGTGCCAAGGAAGCACAAAGCTGTGTGTCCAGTGTCTCATGCTCTCCAGGCCTGTGGCGCTTCCTGTCCTGGTAGGACACAGCAAGGAGGCCTTCGCCAGGTACTGGCCCCCGATCTTAGATGGCTCAGGCTCTAAACCACGAGCTAAATAAACAGTGTCTCTTGTAAATGGCCCACAATGAGTACTGTGAGCCGGGCGTGGTGGTGCACTCCTGTAGTCCCAGCACTCGGGAGGCTGAGGCAGGTTGCCAGTTCAAGACCAGCCTGGGCTACAGAATGAGCTCAAGGCTAGCCTGAACTGCACAGCGTCACCCTGTCTCAAAAAGACAAAAAGAAAAGTGTATTGTGTCACAGCTGCACAAAATGAACTACGATAGTAGCTGAGTGCCGTAGGTGACTCCAGACAGGACCCCGTCCTGGACAAAAGCGCTGCTCCAGAGGACGTCACTGTCAGCGCCAGCGCTGCCACCACCCTTGACTCTACGGTCTGCTCTGAACCCGGAGACGCCCAGCTGACAAATGTGCCGTGGTTAGGCACTCAGGAATAAAGGGCCTGGCTGTGTGGGGCTGTTTCAGATGAAAGAGAAGGAAAAGCAGCCAGAGAAGATGTTGGCGGGGGAACCCGAGTCCTGGGCGGAGGACAATGGCCTTAGCGGGGTGTCACTGCCTTTTTCTGCCAGTGTGAACACATTTTCAGTAACAGGTTAAATGAGGAGCAGCACTGGGCTAAAAGGTCGAGATCCTAACAGACATCCCCCGGGGCCTTCGCACGGAGCTGCGTCCTCGGACCCTGCTTCTTTCATTTCGAGACAGGGTCTTGCTGAGTGGCCCAGGCTGGCCTAAGTTGCAGTCTTCCTGCCTCAGCCTCCTGAGTGGCTGGGATTACGGGCATCAGACATTGCATCTGGGGTTCTTCAGTGTTTAGATTCTGGTAATTCCCACCTGTGTGTTAGCTAGATACCACTGTACTGTGAAAGCTCTTCTGGACACGTTTGTCCCAGCGTCCTTCTCCAAGGACAGTGCCTAGAGAGGAAGAGAAGAAACGGGCAGGAGCCCATTTGCCTTCACAACAGGCAAAATAAATCACTTCTTGAAGGGTGCATGGGCATCGGGTCTCCTTTCCCCTCGGCTGCCTCTTGCTGGGTTTACAGCCCTCGATGTTCTGGCCTTGGCTACCCCGTCCTGCTCCGCCATCCCACAGTCCTTTGAGCTCTAATGTGGGGCCCACCAAGCCCCACAGACGCACCCAGCTTCCTACTTTGGCGCAATCCCTCCCCCACAACGTGCCTCCCCTTGGAATATCACTCTCCCCAGTCTCCATAAGGTGGGCTTCTCATGGTTGAGATCTGAAGTTTAACATCACAACTTCAAAGTGACCTTCCATGAGACTCTACACACGTGCCAGCCCTCTGGAGCTCGGAGCCTGGCCTGGGACAGAGCAGGGGCGTAAAGGACACTGCTGAGAGAGGTCACAAGGCCATGCTCCTGCTCACTGAACAGCTTGGCTTTTCTCCTCCTGCCCCAGTCCCTTTGTGCATGCTACTGAGACGCAGTCACTTAAGCGACTACAGCTGTGGCTGTCTGCATGGTTCCCTCCCCCAGAAGTAGCTCTTCCCTTCTTCAGTTCTCAGCAGCCACCCCAGGGTCCTTTCAAGGTACCCATCATTCAAACCCCCGGGGACTCGAAGTTCCAAGAGCTCGAAGGAAGTTTTCGTGGAATCACTCTGCCTCTGACCTCGCTGGGCCCTAACAATCACAGTGAGCAGCCCCACCTTAGGGCGATCCTGTTGGTGGGGAGAAGGACCCTTAGACACCTGATCACCTTGAGTCCTCGTGATAACCTCCATGGCTAAGGCTCATCCCTGTTTTAGAAGAACCCGAGGCGCACGGAGCTTGCACTGCTTGTCAGCGGCCTCAGCCCGGAGCCGGGAACGGAGCCCTGAGCCCCTGCTCACCGCTGCAGGATGGCTGGACACAGCGTGCTGCACACTGCTCACTCTTCCATCCGCCAAAGCCACCCACCCGTCACCACACGGACTCTTGCACACGTGGCGGCCAGCTGCCCTTCCCGTGGGGCGGCTGCTTGGTGCCACAGCATGAAGGGCATTGCCGAGAGCCCAGGACCCAAAATAACTCTCAGTCTTTTCCCAGAGCTGGTGAAAATCCGGGCAGCCGCTCTCTGCACTCAGAATCCTCGGGAAAACCCAGATAGTAACAGAGGAGTGAAGTGCCTGCAGCCCGCCCGAGTCACAAACCTCTGGGTGCATGATCCAGATTACCGGCAGGCTGTGGATGAAGGAACCCATCCAGGCAACAGTCAGTACCAGAAGGGAACCATTTCAGGAAACATCTAGAGAGACGGGGTGGACCTGTGGCACACACACGCTGCAGCGGAGCCTCTCTGCTGGCCCTTGAGCTAAGTCTCCCCAGCATCCAGCACTGGATAACAGCTGCTTTTTCTAAACTGAAACCTCGGCCTTCTGGTCATTGCAGTGTTGGCATATTACACCAAGTGAGCGGCAGTTGGGGCACTCATTTCTAAAAGTTCCCATCTGATCCAGGGGCCACTGTCCTTCAAGACCACACTGAAGTCAGGTATGCCAACAAACAGTGACCGTGTGGTCAAGGGCAAGGAGTCCAAGGAGTAAGCGTAGGGTCTGATGAGAGGTTGCAGATGGTGGAAAATTTCCATGTCTGCTTTGGAGCCAGACCGCAGTACCAAAAAGTGACTCCTCCACAGCAGAGCACAGCGGGGCTCTGTACCACGCGTCTAACTAACAATACAGATCTTCATCGAGTGAGCGCAAACAATGCGCTAGATACAAGCCGACAAATCAGTCACTGTCTAACCAGCAGATGTGCCCACTACACATGACATTACAGCACCAGGGAGAAGGCTTTCTGGACACACTTCGCACTTGACGTCACTGCCTAGCCCGCCTGTCCACCTGTGTTAGGACCCCGGCCCTCTGCCACGCAGAGTGGCAGGGAGCTGCCTCTACCACAGACCCAGTAACTTCAGCCCTGCACCATTCTGGTCAGGCTGCCTGGCTGCTGTGTGACAGGCCAGAGAAAGGCGGGAAGAGCCACTTCTCTGGACTGCAGACCAGGGTGCTGAGGGATCCTAGGGACAAGGCCAGCTGGTCCGGTTTCTTCATGGACAAAGAGGCAGGACAAGCACCCTGACAAAAGTTCCGGAACTTCAGCCCCAAGCGCCACTCCACGACTATACCCGTGGCCCATCGAGATCTCAACTGTAAATCAGCAAACAAATCTCTATTTGAACCAGGCTGCAGTATTTACATACATTCATCTCAAAAGTATGAAACTCTGTATCATGGTGCAATCGCTCGCTTAATGCAACAGTTTCCTTTACTGACCAGACGCATAGCTATGTGCAGCCACTTGACATTAATAAGTGTCACCACCCTGAGTGACAGCTGGGGAGCACGAAGCCGTCATCCTGGAGAGGAAAAGGGTTTGGCTGCCTGCTCCCCTAGTCGTGCACCAGCGTGCACACCCTCCGCGGTCCTCGGTGCCCCTCCCCCTTCCAGTCCCCCTCCGCCCCGCCCCTCGCCACCACGTTTCCTGTCAAAACAAACCCTTGGGGGAGGGGATGGCCCGGGCCCAGCTGAGTGTGGGGAACCCGGCCTCAACTTCCCTCTGAACACGCCCGACCTTCCAAACTCAGCCCCCAGCTTGGTCCCCACCCAGGGGTCCTGGTGCGCGAGGATCCCCTGCACCCCGAGGCTTGCAGGCATCCAGACACCGCGCGGCCATCCGCACCATCTCCGTGCGGGACAGGGCTCGAAGCGAACAGGGGACGGCTTCGATCCCGCTGTCCCTGCACGAGGTCAGAGGGGGACCCGAGTGGGGGCCCGCGGGTCCTCTGGAGCGCTGTCCCCACGGGCCTCGCCTTCATCACCCCGGGGCCGCGTACGCACCCGTCCGAGCAAAGGAGCAGGAGATTGGCGACCAGCAGAGTGGGCCAGGGATGTGATGTCCCTTGTCCCCTGTGTCCTCGTCCCTTCGCCACAGCGTGGAAACTCCAGGCCCACAACTCCCGGCCCTGCGCACCCCCCTCTGTATTTAAAGGGCCTGAGGTCCCCAGGGAGGTGACTGTCACTAACAGGGCGCGGGGGGAGAGGCGCGGTGGGCAGGGGAGTGCAAAAAAGGCATCGGGGGCTCGGGAAACCGAGCCTTCTCAGAACCCACCCCCTGTCGAGAGCTCTGCACGGGCTTGGGACACAGAGGCCACAGAGGGCTCGGCCTGGACGGAGTTTCGGCTGCGCCAGGGACATTCCTCCCCTCCGTGCGGCGAGTGGTACGGTCCGGGCGGAGGGCGGGGCAGTGAGTGTTTACGGAACTGGGGCGGCCCGACGCTGGGAGCTAGGGGCGGGGCCTGGACGGGGGCGGGGCCTGGCTGTCGCGGGGCCCAATAGAGAGGCGGGGATGGGGCCAGTCTCAGGCGGGGCCAAACTGTCGCTGGGGGAACCGGGCTTGCCTGAGGGTGAGGCCTTTTGGGGGCGGGACTAAGATGGCAGCGGGGTCGGGGGAGTTTCGTAGTGGACCGGAACCGGCTGGGAGTTGAGGGCCTGGAGCCACCACCGTGGACGGTGCCGGGAGCTCTGGGCCACGCGCGAGACTTGGCGCATCGGCCAATGCTGATCCAGTCAGGGCAGTGAAAACTGGTGCCCTCCCTCACGACGTCCTCACCTACTGGAACGAGCAAGCTACACCTCACCAGTGGACTTCCCCACGCAAGTTAGCAATCAGCCGTGTCATCCACATTTGCTTCTCCCACTTGGTGTAAACTCCGGTCCAGATTTTCACCTGGAGGAGCCGATTAGCTCCTAGCAGCCACACCTACCCAGGCTCTGGAAGACTTGGGGTGCTTGCAAAAGATAAGAGAGTTTGATTCCGGTGGGGCGCCTGGGCAGCGCAGCTCTGCACAAGTTTTGAAGGTGGCCAACGTAAACAACCAGTTCCCGAGGGCCTGTGTGGTCAGGCCTGCTGCTGATTCCTTGCTGGGAGCTACTGCGGGGTGCTTTGAATCTGGCTCTCCCCAGCCGGCTGTATTGCAAAGCCAGAGTGTTTTCTGTAAACTGCTGGCTTGCAGGAATGAAAGAGAAGATTCTATAGACTGAAGCTTTTTCTGTTGAGTGCTGAGATCATGTCTGGATTGTGGAAGCAAACTGCCCACTACTGTTCTAGGACAAAAATGAAGCAAAACTCAAAAACCAGACGGGCAACATTCTACAGCAGGAAATCCAGTTAGTTGTACAGTTGTTACAGAAGCCGGGGGAAGGCTGCCCTGTGCCCAGGGCACATTTGAACGCTGCTGCTTGTTGAGACTTCCTGGTAAACCAGTCTGAACCAGCTTAGCTGCCAGTCTGTAGGAATTTGTTTCTGTCTTCTTTTTGTCACTTTTCTCCTAAAATAGCTTGACATGGGTCAAGATAGATATTAAAGAAAATGCTGCTGCTGCAGAAATTCTTTCCTATAAACATGGCCTCGCTTAGCTCATGTTGCTGGAAACAACAGCTAATAGAAGCCTCTGATTCCAATTCTTGCCAGACAACAACCCCACACGACTGCCATGACCCACAATGAGATTAGCCAAAAATACCTGCCAAACTCTAGGTGACTCTGTGACAATGACACATTGCGACACGGCTTCTTTGTGAGCTCTGTGGGAACTTAAGTGTTGTTTTGCCTCGTGACATGAGTCAGAGTGGATGCCCAGATCAGCTGGTGACCAGATTCCTGACCCTGGGCCCTGACACTTCCTGTGCAGGTCAAAATATGTAACTCTCAAAGCCTCCGGGAAGCAATTTCTGTCAAAGCAGGTGAGTCCAGTGTCAGTACGTGGGGAGACTCCGGTAGAAAAGGCGGGTCAACATCAGAGACCCAAGTGGAGGTAAGACCCTAGAAACTCAGTCTTCTGTCGAAGACTTTAAATAATTCATTGCTATTGGTGAGTTTATGACTGGCTGCTCTCAGCCTGGCTTCTGAATGAAAGCACTTGGGAAAAATACAGGCTGTGAAATGTAAGGCAGGAACTCCTGGAAAACCAGCTGTGTCCAACACAGAGCTGGGACAATAAAGTCCTGCAGGCCGTGATGGTGCAGACCTGAGATCCCAGCGCTTGGGAGGCTGAGGCAGGATGTTTGCCACCAGTTCAAGGCCAGCCTTCTGGGCTACATAGTGACTTCAGTGATACCCTGAACTACATAGCGAGACTCTGTCTCAAAAATAAAAAGAGCAAACGATAACGAAAGAAAAAAGGAAAAAAATTACAGTGAATTCTCGGGAAAAAATAAAACCCAGAAAACCCCAAAAAGCATGATTGTCATATGAGCCTGCACTCTCTCCACCATTTACCTTTTCTAATAAAACTACATTGTGTGGTGATTAAATGCCAAGCAAATTCAGCTAAGTCTAGAGACTGATCAGATGCTGCCGGCCGCCTCTGTGCGTCTCTGCCTGCACCCTCGTGCAGCTCCTCTCCTTGTGCAGCTCTGATTTCCAAGCTTCTCAGTAGGTTTTCGGTTCCTCAGCCAGGGCGGCTCCTAGAACCTGCTGCCACCGTGCAGCTCCCCGGCGTCTTCCGTGATGGGACCCAGTGCTTGGGCCAAGGCTCCGCTGCCGCTGTCTTGAAACCCTTCATGTTTTTGAATGAGAGAGGCCTGCATTTTCATTTTACTCCAGGCCCCACAAATTGTGTAAACTGACCTCACTGTGAGGAACCCCAGTTGAGTATTTATAAGTACCTTTCACCCCCTTAACACAGGACATCCATTGTGTCATCGGTATTTGCCTAGAGAAACATGTGTTTGCCTCAACAGAAATGCAAACAAAGACCCAAACCAACACCTGGGGTACTCCCAGCTTTTACTGTCAGGGGAGCAATTTTTTATTATATAGGCAGTTCATTAGGTGTCACTGATAGGATATTATGTACGTGTATTTTACATTTAAAAAGGATTCATCAGTATGCATGTAACAGTCACTCTACAGTAAGCCCCAAATCTATCTTCAGCCCAGTCCTGAGTCTTTAGATCAGAGGAGACATGAACCCTCGACCTCTCTCTTGCCAGGCAGGTGTGTACGCCTCTCCCAATTCTTGAAGCTCATTTCTTCTTTTCCAAGAAATAACCAGACAAGCTGGGCACGGTGGAATTCCAGCGATGGGGAGGCAGACTGGAGGACTGGGCGTTCAAGGCCAGCCTGGGCTAGAGTAAGAGCTTGTCTCGAGGAAAAAGGAAAGAAAAAAAAAGAAGGAGAAGGAGGAGAAAAGATGGAACAGCCCTGTGGCTGGAGGCAGCAGAAGGGCCTGACCCGTCCTCCCGCCTGGGTTCTGAATCGGGGTCTGGCTTGGACCCGCCGGGGACTCTCCTCAGAGCCTTCCTGATCACACCTGAGGCAGGCGCGTTAGCGTCATCTTCTGCTCTGGCATCTCCTCTAGTAGCTGGGCACCTTGAGCATCTGTCCCATATGCATGTACCTTGGCTTTTGTCTTTAGGAGACAGCACCTCACCACTGCGAAGACGGAGATGACCTCTCTGGGCGGCCGGTGTGACCGGCGTGGAATCCGGATGGGAACCTGTGAGAATCCCACCGGAACTGCAGAACAACCCACTCCAGACGCTGCGCTCCAGCGAACCCTCCATGCCAGGCAGAAAGGGATCTTCCAACACGATAGTTTTTGTGACTTTGGAGAAGACCACAGCCCGAGGGTCGCGGCAGATTACAGGTGAGGTACACAGAGTATCCAGCCACGGTGCAGCCTCACCCACCCTCCACAGCTGCGGCCCCAGGACTGTGTCATAGGAGGTGGCGTGCCGCCCCGGCCGGGCTGTCATCTTCCAAGCTGTCAGTGCCTGGGTTTCAAACTTTGCATCCCATTTAAGCAATTTTTAAGGCAAATTTTGGCTGCACATAATTTTGCTCCTATCTTCTCCTTTTATACCCCTGGCCCTATGTGAGCCCGTGCTAGGAACAGAGGAAAAATAATGCAGTGAAATCTCATCTTGTTAAAAGCCAGGCACACTGGCACATGCCTGTAATCTTAGCACTTGGGAGGCTGAGGCAGGAGGATCATTGTGAATTTAAGAACAGCCTGGGCTACAAAGTGAGCTCAAGGCCAGCTTGAACTGCAGAGTGAGATGCTGTTTCAAAAAGACAAAAAGAAAAAAAAAGCACAAGTACACCTTGGGCAATTTCAGTTCTTTTCCTTTTGTTGTGGAAGATGAGACAGAACCACCCTGATGCTGAGCCGTTCCACACCAAGACAAACACCCCGAGCCCTGCCGCAGCCCCTCCACGGCCCCACTACCCACCAGGAACCTAGGTGCTCCCCTGGGGGCAGGAAAACCTGAGCATAAGCTGTGAAGTCAGCGCTGTGGGAACAGGTAGGGGGCGGGAGGGCCAAGCAGCACCCACGGAGGCCAGGAGGCCAGGAGGCGACAGGCAGCTCAGGCCCCAGACAGAACCGCTGTCCCTCTGCTGAGCCTACCACGGGCCCCAGGGTGCTTCCTGATGAAAAGTTAGGTCTGATTTGTAATTCGAGTGGATCCCCACTCGTTGGGTGGGGAGTGCTTCCAAACTGCGATGTGAAACTCATGAGATGAGGTGAGATGGAAAAGGATGGCCAAGGGGCACGGTTTAAAAACCTATTACAGGGGCTGGGGATTTAGCTCAGCGGTGTAAGCTCCTGCCTTGCAAGCACTCAGTCATGAGTTCGATCACCGGTACCGATAAAAAAGAAAAAGACAAAAACAAACAAACAAAAAAGAAACACCACCTATTACATGCCAAAGGCACTTTGCCGTGGATCCCCATCCCCTGGAACAAACTGGTTCCTGCCACTGCAAGCTTTGTGGTTTACTCAGAGGGACAGCATATACTTGTGTGTGATCCAGGTGAAGTCTCGGCAGCTCTTGCTGGCATCCAGCCTGGAAGGGACTGGTGCTTTACAGTCTGCTGGCCTCTGGCGCTGGAATCCTCTTTGCTTTCCAGGACCCAGATGGCTTTCTACCTTTTAGCTTACATGGAAATCCAAGCCACCTGAGTGTGTGGCCAGCCAACCTCGCTTTCTGGTCT